GCTAGGCGCTGCTCTGGTACCAATCACAGGAACTGAGAGCAAGAAACTTCTCCTGTGCTCTCAGTGCTCCCACTGCTGAACAGGTAATATAGAGAAGGAGGAGGAAATCGCTTGCCAGGGATGCAGAAGGGTAAGGAGCTAGCACGGTCAGCCTTAGGGAAAATAGCACTGTGGACGAACTTGTATTTTGGTGTCCCTGTTGGTGTGGCACCCCTCATTGCCCGTGGCCCCCATGGATTCCTCACCACCCCAGAACCCCGCTGCCTCTCCCCAGTGCTTAATTTTTATTGAAAGAGGTGCCAGAGCTCAGCCCCATCAAAAATTAAGCACTGGCTGGGCAGCCGGAGAGTGGCAGCTGTTGCCTGGGCTCTGAGCTCTGAAGGCATTGCCACTGCCAGCAGCAGCTGAGAAGTAAGGGTGGAATGGTATATGATGTATTACCACCTTACTTTATGCTGCTGCTGGTGGCAGCACTGCCTTCAGAGCTCGGTGCCCGGCCAGCAGCCACTGCTCTCAGGGCATCAAGTTCTGAAGGCAAAAAAACAGAGAACCGCTAAATTACAAGAAATTTGTCGTACTGTCACATCACATGATTGGGGGGGGGCGGGGAATTCAACTTCAAAACACTATACAGAACAGATCTTTCTGTACATCGTAAAAGATGCTGCTTCTTCGAGCTTGTCTTTTATATCTGCTCTATCCGGCTAGTTTAATAGAATGCCGTGAGAAAGGATCATTTATAGATTTGCTTTCCTTCTTGCTGGTCTGTTACTGCAGAGTTAATATTTTCGAACAAACAAACAAGATAAAGGCTTGTTTGACCCGTTTTGTTTTTGTATTTGTATTTTTTTTTAAAGTAGGAGGTAAGTAATCTAAAACATATAAATACACTCTTTCCCACATTCTAGTAAAGAAGGATGGACACTGCATCATCTACTACAGGAATTTCCACTATCCACAGCTGTGGAATTGGAGTTGCAAGAGGATTAAGTCTTAAAAAACATATTCACAATAGCCAGTCAAAAAGAACACAGAACACAGTGTTTGCTTCTCCAGTATAGTATAGTATAGTACACCTCTACCCTGATCTAATACGACCCGATATAACATGAATTCGGATATAACGCGGTAAAGCAGCGTTCCGGGGGGGGAGAGGGGGCGCCTGCTGCGCGCTTCGGCGGATCAAAACAAATTCGATATAATGTGGTTTCACCTATAACACAGTAAGATTTTTCTTGGCTCCTGAGGACAGTGTTATATCGGAGTAGAGGTGAGTGAGTGTGTATATATCACACACACACACACACACACACACTATAGAAGTGTAGAATTTAACAACCACTTAGCAACTTCTGTGTTAGCTACAAAATAAAAAGCAATAATAAAAATATATATAAAGTGCAAAAACTACAGCATAAGGGGTATAAATTTTGGACTTGGACGTACATTGTCTGCTAATAAACAGTCTAGAAAAATGATAATTTGATTAGGCTAGTCAATATTGCAAAAGTTGATTCCACTGCTTATTCTGAAGAAATTATCTTTATTAGGAAGTGATTTGTAGGCAAATTCCTCCTATACAAACCCATACATTCGGGCTTTAACAACATTATACATCTGCAGTGTCTGTCTCCGAATCGGCAAGAAAACATGCTTTTATCTCTCACAACATGTGCTATATATAGCCAACTGGAGTCTGGCATAGGTGATTTTACTTCAGGATACAAAAACTGTATGGTAGAACATAGAATCGTTCTTTATTCTTCCTGGCAGCAGCAAAACATTAAAATGTTTACAGACAAATCAACACAGATATAGTGCTGTTCCAAACTCTGAGCTGTTGAGTTACAGCAGGAGCTGGGAACAGATCCTGCATCCTTCATGAGTTCAGTGGGATTAAGTGTATGAGTAAGGACTCGTTGCACCGTAAGGGTTTCAGAATCAAATATTTGGGAAGGAGAGACCCCAGGCAGACAGGGGTGATGGATTCAGTGCAGAGAAGCTGAGAGATGATAGTCACTGGTAAAATAGTGTGTGATTTCAGGCATCTAATCTGAGATGTATGTCTGAAAATATTTGTAAAATATACAATAACAATAATAAAGAATAACCCCTTCTCCCCTAACTACTCTTGTGCCCCTTCTCCTCTAATCCCTGCACTCCCTTCCTGAGCCCCAATCCTTGCACTGTGCCCCTTTCTTCTCAACCACCTTCTGCACCCCCTAACCCCTGTACTCTCCTCCTGTGCCCCTTCTCCCCTAAACCCTCCTGTGCCCCCTTCTCCCCTAAGCCCTGCACTCCCCTCCTGTGCCCATGTGGGGTAGCTGACCTGGATGCACAGAGAAGCTGGCATTGCTGCTTGCTTTCCTTCTTGAATGCTGCTCCTCTGTGGCCCCCACAGAAAAAAAACCAGTGGGTGCTCAGCACCCACCGGCAACCCTGTGGATCAGCTCCTCCTCCTCAGCCCTCCTGCCCGCTGGTGGGCACTCTGTCAGCTCCTCCCCCTCCCTCCCAGTACCTCCTGACTGCCGTGATCAGCTGTTTAGCCCTTGTGTCTCCTCTGCAAGTTTGCAACACTCTGCAGAGTGCCCCCTGACCACAGCACCCTGGGCAGTCGTCCATAGGGCCCACCCCTAAGGACAGACCTAGGAGCTGGGCCTGATGTTGATGAGCCAGGAGACTCTGACATTGGGATGGGAGTGGAGAGGACTGGGGCAAAGAGAATAGTGGGGTAGGGAAATGTGAGACCTGGGCATGATTTGCATAAGTGTGGAAATTCTCAGCTGCAACTGAAGTCACTCAGATCTGTGCACTGAACAAACAGTACTGTAAATGCTATGAAAAATCAGACCAAAGGTATCTCAAATTGGATGCCCAAAATTAATGTACACTTTTGACATTCATGTGTCTCTGCGTCAGTTCCCCATCTGTAAAATGTGAATGATAATACTGCCTTACATAGCAAAGGTCTTGTGGAGATAAAATCATTAACATTTTGGAAGCACTCAGACATTTGTGATGAGTGCCAAAGAAAAGCCCATTGAGGAAGTTAACACATATGGTTTTGGAGTAGGGTTGAATGGAGTGCAGTAAATAAGACATGGCCCACACATTGAATTGTGAGGATAAGAAGAACTATTGAATAGCAGATCATTCTGTAGGTACCATCCATCCTGAGTGCTGAATGAGCATTATGATATAGTCTATAGTTACTGTATGTGATCTAAATTAATGTAAAGACTGTATCATATTGCTTACACAGGCAACTTTAATTCTGGCATTTCCTACCTTAGAGTGCTTGACTTTGCAACCTTAATGGTGTTTTAAAATGTAGTTTTTTAAATATGTAGTTTATAGATGGTATTTGCTTCTGGTTTCATACATGTTAAACTATAACTGCAGCATATACCTATGCCAGTGGTCCCCAACCTTTTTCGTCTGGTGGGTACCAGACAAGCCACCATGGCCGGCGGACAAGCACCCGCCGAGAAGCGGCAACATCAATAGGCATCGCTGCCAAAATGCCGCCGACAAGCAGCGTCATCCAGAGGCATTGCCGCCAAAATGCCGGCAGCAGCGACGGCTCTGGATGACGCTGCTTGTCGACGGCATTTCGGCGGATGCTCGTCCGCCGGCCAGTATGTGGGCGCACATAGATGCCCTGGCACTTGCAGGCACCACGTTGGGGACCACTGCCCTATGCTTTATGCCACATTATACAAATATTGTGATCTAGTTTGGTGGTTCTGTTATATAAAACCAAGGGAAAGACTATGCCAAATCCTGAAATTTTTATTCAAGCAAACAAATTTGCTTGGTTTATTTTAATGCAAGGGTGATAATTTTGTGCTAATTCTTATTTTAACTAAACCAGTTTACCCATTCTTTGAAGGTTGCAAGTCCCTGTTGGGCATTTGCTCACATCCATGAAAGACAACAGTTTGACTCATTAATAGTCCTCCAATTGACAGTCATTTTTAGAAGTGTGTAGAATAGTATACATACTTCCTCATTTTACTGTGACTGGTTCTACCAGTACTATTAAGCTATCACTTACTTGAACACTAGATTCACCTAACAAATGAGCAGTAGCTTTTCTGAGTGAGCTGACTGGGTGAGATCAAAAGAACTCTGGAAGTAAGGCTATTACTGCATGTATTACTTTGTTTCAGAGCATTTTCTAATATATCTGAATTTCTCAAGTTTCAATCAATAGATTTTGTTTTCTGTTATGAAAATTCACATTGTGAAATTTCAAAAGATTTTGCAAAAGTGTAAATCATGGTGCTCAAGCCTGAAAAATAGAATCTTAAAAAATGCTTCTAGAATGCCTTCATGTTCTTACTGTAGCAACGAGGCAGTAACCCTGTAAATTTTCAACTGGGCTAAAGGCTAACTTATCTGCTTAGGCAAACAGTTCATGCCCACATTTTCTGAGAGTACAAATCACTGTGGGCATCAAGTTGTAGTAGTCACATGTCTGTCCTTTGGCATTCATAATTAGGTAAACTTGAAAATACTAAGATTTGCATGTACAATTCATTGAGGGAGCATGAATTACAATTGCATCTTTTTGCAGAAGCAAATTGCTTCTACGAGTGGGAAATTTGGACTTTGCAGGTCCCCTTTATGTAAAAGGTAAACTGAAACTAGTAATATGCTGGGTACTAGAGTTGGGCAAGAAATGGAAGTAAAAATTCACAAAACAATGCAGGTTTTTTTTTCTATTTTTTGTCAAAAATCTTGTTACAGTATGTGCAAGCTCTTCTGGCTCTGTTCACCAGCAACAGTGTAGTCTTCTCTTACCAATTGCAAGTGACCTGTTATGAGTCATTGTGAAGTATCTGATAAGACTTCCTGAATATCAGTTCATAAGTGTAACTATTAATGTGTCATATTCCTAAAGAATACTACTTTGTACCTTAAGAGGATCTTAAGAATTTTCACTATGTCAACTGCATAATGAATGATGCATCTGTAATATTTATCTGCCCTTCTAGGTAATAAATCCAAAGAAAAAAGGAAAAAAGAAAAAGTATATTAATTCTGGAACAGTAAGTAGATACTTTTTATGTTGACTGATGCTTTCCTTTTCCGTCTGACTTCTTGAAATAAAGTGTCTTCAAACTAATTTGACAGTGTTAAAGAAATACTTTGAAGAATGGAAGAGTAAAGTATTTACTATAACTCAGTTTTTCTACTTTCCCCTCTTTTCTGTGATTAAATGAGTGTCTCGTGAAAGCTTTATCCAAAACGCAATTTTGGGTTCCCTGTGAGTTTAGAATTGCTGGAGGCAGTGTTGATTTTTATCTGTAATACATGTTGACTTTTAGAATGCATTAAAATGTTTTTCTTAGTTATTCAGATAGCGTACAGAGACATGAACAAATAAAGGATGATAGATTGTGTCCTTAGTGCTTATGAAAGTATTTATTCTTTAGTCTCTTAATTTTTGGCAGAATTAGATTTAAGAAATGCTCTGACTGTAATTTGCAAGAGTGCTAATGTTTTTTAATCATTGAGGTACTAACAACCAGTAATAATGTGAAGTATTTGGTAAAAATGCAAGAGCCTTTTTATTCTCAGTTATATTAGTTTGATCCACTGTAATAACTGCAGTGCTGATTTTAATATTCTGGCATCCAGGAGAATCAAAACATAATTTAATACAAGACCAGAATAAATCTAAATCTACAAGAATTTGTATTTCAGAAAGTCAGACTAAATACAGATGAGGGCTGGTTCTGCTAAAACATATATGCTTAATTTTACTCATGTGAGCAGTCTGACTGAAGTCAGTGGGACTTCCATATGCAGGATTGCAACCTTGAAGTGGAAAATGATTATTCCTTTATGTATTTTTCTGTTCAAAAATGGGGCAAGTGCCATTGTCTTTTCCATAAACGTATGGAAAAAGATCCAGAATAGAAGAAACTTTATTTATATTTATCAAAGGGGTAGCCGTGTTAGTCTGGATCTGTAAAAGCAGCAAAGAGTCCTGTGGCACCTTATAGACTAACAGGCATATTGGAGCATGAGCTTTCCTGGGTGAATACTGACTTCTCCCATGAATCCGAAGAAGTGGGTATTCACCCACGAAAGCTCATGCTCCAATACGTCTGTTAGTCTATAAGGTGACACAGGACTTTATTTATATGGTAATTTGATGGTAAGATCTTATTGAAGGAGTGAGTGATTTTCTTTCATGTTAGTATATTGCCAGTGGTAGATTTTAATATGTTAGAACAAAGTAGTAGTATACTGCATCAGTGTGTTGGCATGATGTCCGTGTGAGTGCTCCGCTTTAGGTGTTGAGCGCCCCTGCGCTTGTAATCAGAGATTTGTGGTAGCAGTGCCTGGTTGGGTCGCATATGCACAGTCCCCGTCTCGTGCTGCCTCAGGTGGCTAACTGGTGCTGTGCGACCAACTACCCCTCAGTTCCTTCTCTACTGCCCTTGGCTACGAGTCGGAGCATTCAGCAGCTCCTCAGCGCTTAGTTAGCATAGTATACCCCAGTTAGTTCTAGTTTTGTTATAGATAGTTAACTCCTTTCGTTTCCTTATCCCTGTTGTTTAAAAAAAACAAAACCCACCCTTATTTGTTTCGTGAACAGAAATAGGTTTTCGTTGAACCGTTACTCCTGGTTCTCCCCTCAGGGGCATGACCGGTTCTCCAGGCTTTAAACACTGCCTCACCTGTAGCCTCACCTGTAGGCTATCGATCCCAGCGTCGGACACGTGCCTCAAAAGTGCCCTCATTGTCATACACTGACAGCTCAGACCAGGAAAGCCAGAGACTTGCAGCTTAAACTGCTGTTCATGGAGCAGTCTCTCCGGACAGCATCTGAACCAGAAACACACACACCCCTGAGACACAGTTCACCGACTGCAGCCTCTGACAGGCTCTTCTTTGTCTGTGACTCACGTGACAGACCACCCAGATAAAAAGGTGGCTAAGAAGCGTATGCTGTCCTCACCGACTCAGGAACTGACCAAGAAATAGCGTTCCCCAAACCGAGAGACCTCATTGGCACTGGCAGGCTCCACAGCCGAGATAGCGGGAACCTCTGGTACCATGGATACCGCGAGAGCTAAAGACTCCAAGAGAGCTAGCTCCAATGCAGGCACCCAGGGGAAACTGAAACCCCATGCCTCCGCAACAGCAGAGCCATCCTGACACTCAGCACTGGGCACATGAAAACAACTGCGGCCTATGCTGCCACCTCCTGTCAGCATTGCGCAATTGACAGTTGCACCCATAGAGACAACAGCTCCACAGCAGCCAGTAACCACTGTTACCACATCAACGGCACCAAGGCTGTCGACATCACAACAATTCTTACTTCACAGAGACCTCAGGGTGTCCTCAACACCTGACTCTCCCATTCTTGGCACCGAGATTACAACAGCACTCTCAGTACTGAGCCGTCCTACCACTACACCGACTACTGCTCCCCCATTTTTGAGCAATGAGGAGGACGAGGAAGAGACATATCCCTCGCATCACTCTTCCCCCGCCTGCAAAACAATCAAACCGGCCCTACCACAAAAGGGGTACTATACAGGGGCCAAAGAACAGCAGTAGTATGGGCACCCATGTATGGCACCTAGTCCCTTCCCTCCACAGTGGCAGTATTGGGCCCCCTGGATGGCATATCCCTCTCACCACCTCAAACCTCCTAGCCCACATAGGGAGGGTACACAGCAGTCACCTGTGCCGTCAGTTCCAGCACCATCTGAACCCCCTGATGAGATGACGGAAGAACAGGAAGAAATCTCTGACCAGGAGGTCAAAGCAACAGCCCTTTTTTTTTTCATCGTTCCCGGACGACACCACCATGCCCCCTCCTCCCAACGTGGGGAATGACTTTATACATTTCCAGGATCTCTATAAGAGAGTTGCAGATTCCCTTGACATTTCACTGTGGGAAGTGCAGGAGACATGACATAAACTTGTTGACATCCTGCAAACATCAGCATCATCTAAAATCGCTTTACCCATGAATGATGCAATCATGGAACCCGTCAAACACATCTGGCAGGCCTCTGCAACAGTCGTTCCAACCTAGAGAAGGTCCAACAGGAAATATTATTATGTTCCTGCAACACGGGGGGGTTACAGATGCGAACTGTACAAGTTTGGCTCCGCACAACTTATTCCCCACGAAGGCACAGTATAAACAAATGCCTCACGATGCAAAGCAAAGAAAAAGACTTGCTATCCTGGTGGACACAACCACATAACGTGTGCCTAGGAGTGCCTTTCACCCAACCCCCTCCCCCCCACACACACACACACACATTGACTGTTACGATGGATGCGTCCCTCATAGGTTGGGGAGCACATCTGAACTTGCACTCTGCTCAGGGCCATTGGTCCCCAACAGAAGCCCGACTGCACATAAATCTACTAGAACTAAGAGCCATTCACAATGTATGTGCAAATTTCCTACCACGATCAGAAACAAAACCATATAAATTCTCAGACAATTTAGCATGCATGTTCTACGACAGGGGTCGGCAACGTTCGGCACGCGGCTCGCCAGGGTAAGCACCCTAGCGGGCCAGGCCAGTTTATTTACCTGCTGACGCGGCAGGTTCGGCCGATCGCAGCCCCCACTCGCCGCAGTTCGCCGTCCTGGGTCAATGGGGGCAGCGGGAAGCGGCGCGGGCCGAGGGATGTGCTGGCCGTGGCTTCCTGCCGCCCCCATTGGCCCGGGACGGCGAACTGCAGCGAGTGGGGGCCGCGATCAGCCAAACCTGCCGCGTCAGCAGGTAAATAAACTGGCCCGGCCCGCTAGGGTGCTTACCCTGGCGAGCCGCGTGCTGAACGTTACCAACCCCTGTTCTACGTAAACAAACAAGGGGTTGCCCGCTCACTCCCTGTGTGCAGAGGCCATGTGAATGGCACTGGTGCATCCTGCACAACGTCCACATTGTAACAGCCTCCCTGCCCAGATATCAAAACACTACAGCAGATGCACTCAGCAGGAACTTTTCTCAGGACCACAAGTGGGAACTCGACACCAGGTTTCTCCACAACATATTCAAACAGTGGAGATTCCCCACAGTAGACCTCTTCACAACAGAGCACAATACCAAATGCCCACTGTTTTGCTCCAGGGACAGAATGGGCCTTCACTCCTTGGGAGACGCCTTTCTTATCAAATGGGACACTCCCCTTCTATATGCCTTCCCCCACATTCCCCTAATAAGACAAATGCTAGACAAGATCAAAGAGGACAAAGCCACAGTAATACTGATAGTCCCCAAATGGCCTAATCAAACATGGTTCCCCTACATTCTCAGAATGTCAGCATGCAGACCTCTCACCCTTTCCCTCCTACCTCGTCTCCTGTCCCAGGAACCAGGACGAATCCTGCTCCTTTGTTTTCCCCAAAACATGTGCAGTGTATATTGTAAAAGGGGTTAAAAAAATAATGCAAACATACCATGCTACTTATTTAAAATCCTATAAGGGCTCCAAAAAAAGCCACAATAGGTTGTGTTTTCCTTTTCAAATCACTGTGTGTTTTAAAAGCAAAAGTTAAAAGTAATCAAAACTCTGGTAAAAGTTAATTGTGTCCCTTTTAAAACAAAGTCTCTAAGGGTATGTCTACACTATGAGAGTAGTTCGATTTTACTTAAAGCGAATTTGTGGAACCGATATTACAAGGTCGAACGTGTGTATCCACACTAAGGACAGTAATTCGACTTCGTGAGTCCATACTAACGGGGCAAGCGTCGACATTGGAAGTGGTGCACTAGGGGTAGCTATCCCACTGTTCCCGCAGTCCCCGTTGCCCATTGGAATTCTGGGTCGAGCCCCCAATGCCTGCTGGGGCAAAAAAATGTGTCGAGGGTGGTTTTAGGTAACTGTCGTCATTCAACCCTCACTCCCGCCTTCCCTCCGTGAAAGCGCCGGCGGGCAATCAGTTCGCGCACTTTTCTGGTGATTCACAGTGCGGACGCCACAGCACCGCAAGCATGGAGCCCGCTGCAATCATCGCTGCAGTTATGGCGGTTGTCAACACCTCGCGCCTTATCATGCACCT